TGGACTCTCCTTCCCCTTTTTTTTAAATGCTTTTAAACTGGTGGTTCATGTTTTTATATATATTTGTGTTTTTAATGTTCGGTGTGAGTCGCCCAGAGTTCCCCCACTGGGGGGAGATGGGCGGGTGAGAAATTTAATAAATAAATAAAATAAACACCTTTCCTGATGAAAAAAAGACACAGAGGTATGTGTTATCTCCTACTGATGACAGCTGACTTAGATCCTCTACTGATCTCTCCTGGTATGAATATGTTATAGTAAAATTGAGCTTTGACCACATGGCTGAATGCCACTTGAAACTGAACTCCAAGGATACCTTGGGAAGTTCAGACAAAATGTCTGACATGGTCAGTATCCAACCAGAAGGTACTTCGTGAACCCCAAGGAGAACATTGTGCTACTTTATATTTGCACATCTATGAATCTACTTAGGCAATCCAGTCTTGAGAAGGTAGTCTTAACCTGATGTACAAAATATACAATGGGTTCAGAATTCAAAGTCCAAGGAAAGAGATGACTTGACATGCTGAAAGTATTATCCTGGGTTATTCTGGCTGAAACTGGCCTTGGCACTTGAGAAGTAATTTATCCTTAGCTTCCTACTCTCCTGTTAGCCTGGGAGTACCGCATTATTGCTCACTTGGGCAGATGTAAATATGCAATGGCTTCCTCTTGAATTGTCTTGAAATTAAATTCTATCTGATTTCTAAAAGACAATTTCAGCTGGAAAGTATTCACAACTATTTGATATACAGGTAGCCGAAAATAGCAAATGTTACTGAAAATTAATAAAAACTATAAAAAATAATAAAAAGCTAGGGATAAAATATTATGTCCGAAATATATGCCGCTGAACAACTTCACTTGACACCTTCACTTAACACCAAGTAGTTTCTTGCTCACAGGTCGAAGACTTCATGTTGAAGTTTCTCACCTTTAATCTGATCTGTTCTGGCATCCGCTCAGCCTGGTAAGTCAAAACAACAGGATCACAGTACCTACGGCCCTCTTGCCGGGCATGTTTTCTGAGCTCAAATTCCTATTAAGGAAACAAAAACATAGAGGTGAATGAGAGGATGACTACACTAGATTTGCTAGAACCATAAATCAACAATGTACTTACAGTGGCCAGCCTCTTATCCATTTCAGGACCCGCTTTTTCCACCGCTGTTTTCTGAATGAAACAGCAGGCCAACTCACAGTTATCTTGAGCCAGCTGGGCTGCAGCCTGCTCCATCATCTCCCTCTGTTGTGGTGAAGCTGCCTGTTAAAAACTCCGACCATTAGAAGAGGATAATGCTCATGTTACAGATGTTCATAACAAGACTTCACTTTCATGACATTAACATGTCACTTTCATGACATTAACAAGAAGTAATTTGTTTAGCCAATTATATTTAGATTGTTTAGTAAAGGGTTCAATGTTACTGAATTCAGTAGGGCTTACTCTCAAGAGCACAGAACATTATCCATGATAGAGATCTCTTCCCTCATTGGTTACAGACAAACAGAAATTCAATCTATAAGAAAAACTGATTTTGACTACAACAGGTCTTTCAATGATACACTCTACCTATTTTCTCTGCCAATCAGGAAATCCCATTTGCAAATGGATTTTTTTTTGTGTGCTCAGCTATTAATTGTAACTTTGCTTAAATCTATCAAGTTTTATATAGGCCCAGGATCAAAACAGTAGCTCCCATGCTAGGGCCTTCATGAAAAACTAATTCACTGTGACCAAAGCTGAGCCTGTTTTCTATGTAAGCACAAAACCTAAGATTCCAGAAACATTTCATTCAAAACACCATGTCTGTAATACCACAAACTTTGGAGGATTTCCTTCCAGAAATCTTCAGAGCAGCCAGACCAGTGGACCTCAAAGGAAGAACAAATTGTTCTAAAGTTCTCCAGAATGATCTTTTCCTGAAATGGTAGGATCTGCATCCTGCTATCATATTTCCTTTAAATATGATTTGCTTGCATGCTGAATTTCATCTATTAAATAAGAGCTATAGCAAGTCCACAGAAATGTGCATGAATTTAGATACCAAAGCTATGTACTCTGCATTTCCTAACCTGGTCATATACTCTAATAAACTCTGCACTGCAGATTTTATGGGAATTTTGAATTGCATGCCATTAATAAATTGAATTCTGATTTAATAGACATTATTTATATTTAGCTAACACAATGCTAACATACTTACCCAGCATAAAATTACTTCAAGATTTTCTGATTCTGAGTAAACTTCATGAGGCTTAAATATTAGTTCATGAAATTGAATTTCTTTAGAAATTATTTTAACACAAAACACATTTGGCTATACTTGGTATTCAGATACCATGTTATGTCATGATTCAGCATGATCTGAACAAATTCAGCCTCTGGACATACAATACTTCCTCTTCACTTCTGGCATAGCTGTGATGAGGATGAAAGCTTTTTCTTCCATTTGTGATTAACTGTGGTTACCCTCTCGCTTAAATGCAGCACACTATGGTTAATTTTAATTATGGATTGTTTCTAGCCAATTCAAGCCACAGATTCTAAACCAGGCATGTTTCAATAAACCACAGTTAATCAGAATTCAGCATATTGTCTGAATTCTAAACTGTAGTTAATTTTAATAGCTCCTTTGAATCACTTTTCACTAAAGTATCTTCTTTGTATCTTGTCTTGAGTATCTTTGTATCTTTTCAGACTGGTATATACAGTCCACCTTCCCTTAAACTCTCAGAGTAGAGAAATATAGATTTTACATTATGTCTTCCCCCATGTATGGGGTTTTAGATAACTTCCACGCCACCTTTTGTGGTGGTGGGGAAAATTTCTCTATTTTTATGCAGTATATATCCTATGTGTTTTTTCACTAACACCAATCACCAGGAGGCACTTTATCCTATTTGGGATTCGTCAGACATAGGCAGCCAAACGTTATTCTGCGGGATGTAACAACTGGCTACTTACATCTGACGAGTCCAAAATATGATGAAACAAGTGTCTCTTGGTGGTCAATGTATCTCGTTCTTTGAGACAGCTTTGAAAATATCAACTGCAGTCTCCATGTAATATATACTGACCTGAACATTCAAATACATCCTAAAAACGCTAAAACATAATGCCCAAAAAAGCTTTCAGTTCCTTTTGTTTCAGCAGCCCTTCTTGTGAATAGCATACCTACCCGCAATGCAGTGGCAAAGCTGTTCTTCAGGTTGGTAGCAATGCTCATCAGCAAGGGCTCCCTGCAGGTGATCATAGCCATGCCAGCAGTCAGGTTCCGCATCATGTGATGCGCTGCCACTCGCATGCGCGACTCTTCTGAGTCTAGCGCAAAATCCTTCCTCACTATCTGCTCACAAGTAGTCATGGCAATTTTAATTGAGCGGTCCACCACCGGATGAACAAGTTCTTGAACTGCACGCTCTATGGCTTGACGCACACACTGCTTTAACTGTGGGTGGGCTTGGAACAGAGGAATCTAAAAAGAGAAGAGCTGTTATAATCCATCTTGTGTACATCTATTTCTAACACCAATACAAGCAAGCAAAGCCCTTTCCAGCCCAAGGGGGAGCCCATACTTACAGTTGGGTTTAGAGTAATGTGTGGAGCTAGCCCTCCCAAGGAGTACACATTGATATCATGGTAACTGTACTGTGGCTGGGGAGGAACAGTTGCTGTGCACGTAGTGCTGGTAGCTGAAGTTGTAGAAGTAGCTAAAAAATTCAAGAGCAGAATATTTTTTTTCAGATTTTCTTTCCAAACATGCATTCAATACTGTATCATTGGAAACAAAATGTTTTATTAGATTAACAGAAAAGTATTTGACAAGTGTAATAGCAATTACTGTTCTGATGAATTTTACAATTGTACTAGTAAGTACTCTAAAATTATCATTTGGAATACAAAGTGAACTCAAAAACAGTTTAGATACTAAATTTAGTAGAAGTAAATACAATTGTCTGTCTCTAGGGACTGATACGACATAATCCCTTTTCAGATGTTCACTAAGAGAAAGGCAGCTGAATAAATCTGGTAGATGACCGTGAAAGTAATTCTGCCTGGACCAAGAAGAATTGGATTTCAGTACACATTCCTTAACTCCTCTAGTGACTTGGGTCACAGACTGAAGGAGTCGTACAGAAGCTTATGAAAAGGAGTTTGGAATAGCAATTGATTACAAACAGAACACCAGCTAAAAAAGGCATATGCAATTTTTGGCTTCATCAACAGAAATACAATTTCCAACCACATTAAAAGAAGTAACAGTTCCATTATATTCCGTCTCAAGTAATACGTCCAGTTCTAGAGACCATATTTGAAAAAGAGTTTAGAAACACGTCAGAGAAGGGCAACAAGGAAGACCAAATGCTAGCCCTGTGCAGAGAAGCTCAGAGCGCTGGGAATGTTCAGCTTTCGGAAGAAGAGATGGAAGGGAGTCATGAAGACACTTTCAAGAATGAACGGCTGTTTCACATTCAAAGAATGTTAAGACTGGCTCTCTATTTTTCCAGAGTGCAGGACACAGAATGGATTTCTTCATAATATCCTGAATGTGATGTAAGATATATACTGGGATCAGAATCAAAACAACAGAGATGATCTGAAGTATTCACTTTGAAAGATTATCCTGGCTTGGTTCACCTAGCTGTAACACCTTAAACTAACTGGGTCAGATAATTGGGGAGATAATGTATTTTAAACAACTGTGGGATGGAGAAGAGAAGCAGTAATGGAAATTTAAAAGGGAAAAAACTTTTCTCCATCACTGTGCAGTACAGGGAGTCAGCTTCCAAATGAAGGTTAGAAAAAACATCCCCAAAGCAAGAGCAGTTAGGAATCTATTACCCAGACTGGAGGCAGGAGGCCTCTACGGGATGTGTTCAAGTGGAGGGTAGACAGCATCTTCCAAGAATGCTTTAATGTGATTCCTGCAATGAGCAGGGATTGTACTTGATGGACACTTCCAACTCTGTAATTCTAAAAACCATAAAAATAAATGCTAGTGTGCTCTCTTATTTTCAGTATGATGGAACTCAGAAGCAAAAGCTCACAGCATTCTGGAAAACTTACTGTAGCATAAGATTGAGACAATAAAAATAAGAATAGCCCTGCTATATTTATTTATTGCACTGGTTTGATCTGCTGACTCGGAGCAGTTTGTAAAACCTCAATATGGCAGCTAAAATTAAAAAAGCAATTTGAATCACACCACCACCACCACCAAACACCTAAATAATCCTAATCACTCAACACTACAATCCACGGTGTTCTGGGAGAACCATCAACCTTCCATTCACACTCCATAGGTGTTCGCCCTATCAGGTTTACCAAACTAAGAAACAGATACTGTGCAGCCCTAAAGCTGCTTTTATTAGGACAGCTTTAATATAGAATATTGCAAGTCTGAATGTGCTACCTTTCCTCCTTTTTTTATTTTCATGAAAATTGGGGGGGGGAGGGCTGTCTGAGGTGTTTTTGCAAATTACTTTCTTGGTCTGGGCTCAAGCTTCATTTATCTAATTGTTGCTTTGGTAGTGGATCTTTCCTCTGTCCTTCTAGGCCACCCTCTTTATTCACTACAGCAGGCCCTCCTAAAGAACCAGGTCTTCATGGCCCTCCAAAATATTAATAGGAGGATAAACTATTCCAGGACAGAAACCATCACCAAGAAGGCATGTTCCTGAGTTCCTTGATGTTGAATTTCCTCAGCATAGGGGTCCACAGCAAGACTGATCTTGGAGCTCACCAGACAGCCAGATTTCACACAGAGTACACAGCTGCCCAGATACTCAGGTCCTGAGGGCTTTAAAACTGACAATCACTGCCATGAATTGCACCCAGAAGCCAACTGGCAGCCAGCGCTGCTCCCACAGCAGAGGTGTTACATAAACAAAAGACAAGCTCATTACTCTCCAGACTGTTGTATTCTGGACCAGATGAAGCTTATGGATAGTCCAAGGGCAGTCCCATGTAGAGCAAGTAGCAATAGCCCAGACGTGAGGTGACAAAGATATGAGTGACTATCAATAAAACCTCCTGACCCAGAAACAGCTGCAACTGCTACTGGCCAACAACTCTACCTGCTCTTGAAACAGGAGCTGTGAGTCTAGGAGCATTCTCTGACTGCCAAATGATTCTGTTCGAACACAATGCTGTCCTGTCCATTCTGGACTATTTCCAGAATGGGGGGGGGGCAGCTTCTCAATCCACAGCTATTTCATCTAAACCTGTTTTATCCCATATGGACCAAAATAGCCTCTAGGTACCAGCTTACAACCTTAATACATCTCCTATTCAGTCTACAGCAGAATATAGAGGGTATTATCCAAGGGTTGAGGACACTCAATAATGTTGAGGAGAAGACTGAGCCTGAGGACCCCTCACAATATGCCCATGGACTCAATTTCTCATCTCCCAGGATTACTGACTACAACCACTTGCTCTGGAAGGAAAACCGCTGCAACACAGTGCCCATCACTTCCAACCCTTGCAAGCAATCCAAAACAATACAAGGATCAATAGTATTAAATACTGCTGCATTTCCCCTGTCCTGATCTCTACACAAGTCACAAGAAGACCAATCAATGCCGTCTCAGTGTTATACTCAGGATTGAACCTACACTGAAAAGGAACTGATAATACATTTCAAAGAAGGCTCTTTACAGCTGCCCCCCCAATCTTCCCTAGAAAGAGCAGTTATTCAAGAAAGCCAAATCAAGTGACAACATCTTGAGTAGGGGGTGCACCACTGCCTCCTTAAGGCAGATGGCATAACTACATCACATGATGCTTCAACCATTGCTTGCACCCAGCCTCCCACAACCACCCTAGAAGCTTTCACTAACCAATTTAATCAGGGACCTAATTCATAGGTGGAGAGCTAACAATGTAGAAAGCGCCGTCCATTTCCTCAGGATCCATAGGCTCAAACTGATCCTAGGTAACAACACAGGGCAATGGCTTTCTCAGCTCTACTGAACTTGCCCAGCCAGCATCCAATTCCAAGCAAATATTCCAGATTCCTGCAAAATCTTTATTTTATTTTATCAAATTTGCTACCACCCATCTCATGAAACAATTCTGGGCAGTTTACAACAAGATAGAAATTCATTAAAATACAACATAAAAACAATCCTAAAAATAAATAGGTTCGAAGAAGATGGAAAATTGGTAAGTAATTCCGGGGAGCATCATCAGGGAGCTAACCACCCCCAGGGATGGGTTCAGCCCATATCACTCCACACACACTGACAGAGCCAGCTCTTTAAACCTTTTTGGAAAGCCGGGAGGGTAGGGGCCCGCCACACCTCTGGGGGGAGAATATTCCAAAGGGTGGGGGCAATGGCAGAGAAGGCTCTCCTCCTGGGCCCTGCCAGCCGGCATTCCCTCACTGATGGGATCCACAACATGCCCTCTCTGCCTGACCGGGTGGGACAGGATGATGTAATGGGGATGAGATGGTCCCTCAGGTAACCTGGACCCATGCCATGTAGGCCTTTAAAGGTAATAACCAACACCTT